ACCTTTAATCGTTTAAATTAGCACTTAATAGTGTGCACCATATGCAACGGATCACGTAACGCGTTACTTAACCTCAGTAACGATAAACGCCGTTACCGTTCCTGTAAATGGAGATTTTCTCCATTAAGAGTGTAGAAATGCGTCTTATTTTCTGGCAAGAAATGCTGGAGGGCTTTCAAAATAGACAACAGCCTTCCCTTAGGTTCAGGCTGCCAAGACCATTAAAATGGGTCTGGAGGTACATTCTGATGTCGTTTCTTTATTTAAATGATGCAGTGAAACAAAATTCACTCACACACTCACACATTAGTAATGGTTTTATGTGGCTTTATATGGCTTTAAAGCCATTTTTTTTTTTTTTTTGGAAATGACAAAATGCTTAGTTTACAGTCCTGAAAGATTCTAAAAATTTACCCTCTTGTGTTTTTTTCTAGGGACACTATAGAACTCGAACCTTTGAAAGGTGCTGGCTAAAAGGTCACGCCTTAGTTTCTCCAGTACACTCCCTCTCAACATAGCTGGTCACAACTAGCCGGCAGTCGGGTGGGTACAAGAGAAAAAATGGCGGGCAAAAAGATGGAGGAAGTGCAGGAGAAGTTGTGCGAGATTGCAGCCTCGTTGTGGCTGCGTCCTTGGCGGCGTGGCACGGCGAGACCTGGCGGGTCACCGAGTCGCCGCCGTCCCTTTCTCCTCAAATGGAACACGCTCCTCACATAACGCCCCCGGGCCCGTGGCTAAACTGTGCGCGCCTGTCGCGGTTTTGTGTCACCCCCCTTCTCCTCGTGCCTCTCTCGCTTGAGGCGGCAGCAGCGAGGGGGCTTCACCACGGGGAAGGAAGGTCGGCAGCGGAGGGGAGTGGCTCGGGTAAGCGTGCGGCCACCAGTGGCGGGGGCGAGCGTACAGAAGCGCAATTTGTCGAGGAGGGAATCACACACTGCCACTGCCGCGTCTCTTCACCCTGATTTTCCTTTCCTCGACACTGTTTTCCGCACTCTTATATTTGCGCCTTTCCGATGTTTTCTTGATGGGGTTCACAGGTAAAACAAAGGTGTGAGCTCGACTGAAATTGCATCAAGTTATGCACCACTGTTTTCCCAGCGGAGGTGTAAAACATTCGCATCCTTTGAGTAGAATGGAAGTACTCTCTTTGGGTTTGCAGCGTACTTTATCTGTACATTCTTGGTATTTGCTGTTTTATTCAGATCGTCCCCTGCTCCTTTGAGAAAAAAGCATATTCACAAGGAACGGTTGTACTACCGCCTAAATTATCGTTAATTTATGGGTGATTATTTTTTTCACAGTGTTGTCATGGCGACGCGTCATACAATCAGCGCAGTTGCAATTCGCTTTATCTGATATGGTCGTGGGTGGATAGGGAGGGGAAAGGGAAGCGCGGCGAGGGTTTGGGGCGAGGGAGGGAAGGAAAGGGTAATAGATACTTCCTGTTGGTCTGAGCAGGAAGTGGTAAATGCGCACCGCTCCAGGAAGGCGGGGCGGCACGAACTGCAAGGAAATTCCCTTAGGGCGCGTGGGCGCCAGAACAAAGTTCGTATACCGAATGACGTATACATATTTTTTTTGTAGGGCGTGAGCTGGTAGGTCTGTAATGAGACGCCTCTGAATATTCGCGAAATACATGGCTTTTGGAGTTCATGACGTGTATTGGGACAATGACTCACCGCAATGCTAATGACTTGTCGACCCAGAGGGAAGCACATTAGTCACCCTTCCATCCCCTCTCCCTCGCTCTGCTTTCTCTTTCCCACACTCCTCTCCTTGATTCCCTCTGCCGTGATTTCCACAAGAGGCCCCGCACGGCAGGAGACCGACCGTTATAAAGTGTTTTTAGACGATCGTATCGGCTGTACCGGACAAA